TTGTTTTGGTCGAAAATTGAGCTTTTTCACTCAAATAATCACCAATCGTACAAAAGCCCATATTTTTAAAACTCAGGTCAATATTTTAAAAATAGGAACGAAGATGAATTAATTTTTTTTTTTTCCAATTCGAACCTAGGCTAGTTACGCAGCGTCCCTCCAATTGATAGGGTCCCCTGAGAATGGCTTCGGATTGCTATTTTTTTAACACCTTTTAGATATAAATTTTTTTAACACACAAACATACGCCTAATAATTTCCCAAATGTTATTATTCTGCTAACTTTCCGTCCATTCAAAAAATATTGTCAAAAATCCTTGTCTTTAGGCTGTTAGTCTCTAATAAAAGAAAACTCGTCCTAGGATAATTTCCTAAGCGGGCGAAAATAAAACCAAGAACATTCTGAATACGTTGCTAGTTAATCCGCCGCGGTTTCCCTCCATTTGGTGGGGTTAATAGTAAGTCGTTTTCAGCTTATGGGTGTTAAAGATTTTAAATATATTATATATATATGTACGAGATATTCTTTAACTTATTTTGCACATATACATATTTGTAAATAATTAGTTTTTTGCATTTGTTTTCTCTAGGAATTTCGTAGAAGAACAATTGAAACTATCGTTTATCTTAACACATTTTCAAACAAATCACTCATTTATCGCACATGGTCGTATTTAAGTCTAATATCCTCAAGTCATGAATTTGTGGATAAATATATCCTTAAATTTTGTCTACTTATACACTCCTAAGGTTATGCATATGCTGCTGGCAGCAGTTTTGCTAAAGTATTCAGAATATGTGTAAGACTGTATGAATAAACTTTGATTTGCATATTTTATAAGAAGCTTAATTAGCATTTCTTGTCTTTCCTTGGAAGCACCTTTGCTAACGATACCAACATACCTTTATATTTGGCTTTACAATTTTATCCTTCTTTGTATAGAAAATGTTTTCCTTATGAATATAAAAGAAGGCATACATGCGTATGCCTTATGTATAAACAAATGTATGTAAATGTATAAATATGAATACAAAATGTAAATGTAGATGTAAATGTTATTTACATTTTGCTGTAAAGGCTAGTTATTTACTCAGAGATTATTTTGGCAAAAGACTGATTAAATAATTTGAATTTTCGTATACTTTATGCAAAAAATATTCCTTTTAGAAATAACATATAAATTATAAAATTAAATTTTTTATATCCTCAATCCCTTCTTAAATACGGATATATTAAGTTTGTGCTGACGCGTTCATCACCAGCTTGAAATAGATCCAGCCTCTCTTATATGAATTGATTTAAGTTTATCAGTCCATCTGTCCGCCTATTGAATTTCTATGCACTTTTGTACAGGTTGTAGTTTTTTAAATATTTTCGTTGAATTCATCCTGCCGTGATGACAAAACCTATTAAAAATGAAATTTTTTCCACATAACGTGTATTCATTTTAATCTTTCTCGACAGCTATCTGCCATAAAACTGTGATAATACTTTTGACATATTACTCGAATGTGAAAAATTTGAAATAACACGATCCCCACTTATGTAAATATTTTCATAACAAAGAAAAGGCAAGGTCAACCCACTTCAGCCGTTCGCTTTTTAAGCCTGAATAAGTAATGTGGTGGAATATTACAACCCGATCCTATTTACGTTCGCTAGGCCCAGTATAAGATGTTGCAACGGATGGTGCACTTAACAAGCACCACTTGTCGACTGGATTTTACTCTCTTTCTTACTTTAGGCGAACAAGATACATATCGCATTTTCAATGCACACGCATAGATTGCAAAAAGGGCTTTTGAGCAGTCAAGTAGAGTAATCGAGTGCCCGTCTTGCCATTCTTGGTTTGCTCATTCATTTCGCTTTTTAGTGTGGTGAGGTCTCTTTTCTCTTCGTCGTTTATTTACTCAGGAAAACAAATTTGTCCAAAGAGGCGATGTAATGCTTAAGAAATGATGAGCAGATGCGATTACTCTTGTTTTGACACTTGATCTCTCTATGATTTATTAAGGTAACAAGTCAAGTTCTGAAAGCTGGTGTGATTCTTAGGAAATGCGTGACGGGGCAGAAGTTCTCTTGGTTTGCTAAGGACAACCGGGTCAGCCGAGTGTAATATTGGTGGTGAAGTTGTTCGGTGAAATCTTCAATCAAACATCGCAAAGTACGTATAGACGTATTCTGTGTCTGCTTGTTCTAACGTAGTCCAACTATTCCAATTCATTCTTATCATGATTGTAAATATTTTAAAGAATATTTTAAGCAAAGACATGACATAAGATTAATAAAACCTGTTTTTCGCTGCGATTGGTTTTTGAATTTAATCAAATAGAGTGATTCAAATAGAGCTTTTAGTAACGAACCTGTTGGACTCATCATCCGAAAGAAAGAAAAATGTGATAAAAAAAAAAAATATAACGAATACTTATGAAATTGTTATGAAAAAGAAAAGAACGTAACGGAAATGACGTAAATTAAAAAGCAATCATTTATATAGAATTACATTCGATTGCGTGGAAGGAATATCCTTCAAAAAGTTGTAATGTATTAGTATTCACTGATTGACATGATTGACATATTTAATATTGTTGTTGCTTGCAAATCACCTGACAATATCTATGTGTTCATCCGTCTATCTGTCCATCTGTTCGTGACTTGAAATGATGACAGCAACTATAAAATTTATAAAGAGAGAATAGATTGTAATTTGAATAAAAAATTAATTCCAATTACTAGAAAAATTAACGATTGCAAAAAAAATACGAATATTTCATTCGCCTTAGGACGAATTGCAAATTATTTTGTTATGAATAGATGCGATCGATCGGGACCATTTTGCATGTGATCTGGGAAATATTTCTCCTACGTTGTAGATCAATTTACCTTAAAGAAAGTTAAGGGTAACACCTTATTTTGAAAACTCGTTGCGTGTGCCACTATAACAACATATGTATATAAATATCTTCTCAGCAAAATAATCATTCATTTAAATTGACGAGCTTGTGCAATATATTAGGTGTTTGCAAAATTTCTGATCACTTTTTCACTTCAAAAAGGCGTCTATTGTGGAAAATTGGTGAAATATATGTTAATCAAAATAGTTTCCATAATTTTTGGCGAGATGGCGATATCAACGCGAAAGAACTTATATTGGTTTGACAGGGAGGAATCCATCCATCGACCCATTTTCGCACTTTTTTAACTTTGCGGATATGCGTGCCAGCCAAGCCATGCTGTAGCAATCTGAATAAGTGTCAATCAGGAGACGCCATGTCTTGTGAGTGTGCTGGCCACATCCAGAAGTTCCCTTTCGAGCTGCAACAATTCGTGCAATAGAGCATCATCATCATCATAAACGTCTGAACGTATTCGGTGGCCGTCGGCAGCAGATTTCTTCAAATGAACAACGAATGTAATGAATTTGGAAGAAGGAGAATTTTATGTCGTCGTACGGTGGATAAATCAATAATATTAAATGGAAAACTCTCTTTTGCGTGTAGAGAATGGTCAAAACCATCGTATTAATATACACACTGCTACGTACACTCGAAACTGTTATATGCACTGCTATTTCCAGCAAAAAAAAAAAAGCAATGCCTGGTGAGTGTAGTGTGCAGGCGAGCAACACATTCCAGTTTAACGCAGGCTCTACTTTATGTAATCGAGCGACGTAGTGTTGAAAAATTATGGCATCATAAATTTTTTCCATACCAAGCTTGTCTTTGAGTTTAAGGTAGCGAAAGTTAGTAAACACTGAACTGGTTCCACGTATAATGTCGCAATGGCTAATTGCGATTCCCATAGTTTATTTTCTGCATTTCGTATGCTATATCGCGTCCATTTGTCTTCACATTTCAGCAGCCCTTCCTTTCGAATTAAGCAAGAATTTCAGCATTGATCTATTTTTCGACACAGAAGTCGACTTACGCGAAAGGTATTGCGTTTTATACCCTACAGGACTTGTGGCAGATCCGACTTTTATTATACCGATCGATTCAGAATCACTTTCTAAAGCGATCTAAGCTTGCCTGTTGCTCATCGGTCTGTCTGTCTGTCCTGTATTTTTGTCTCCAACCTACAAGATTCCGATCGGGCCACTTTTTCGACCACTTCCCCTATAATGCCTTCATTTGAATAGGCTTTGGGATGGTGTAGGATATGTAATAGTGGGCCTTAGCCCACTAACCTATTTTTGTTTGTATTTTATTTTTACATTGGTAGGCAATTATTTTTATATTTAACACATGAAATATTTATGTGGAATTTTATCGAATTACATGCCAGGATATACAAAACTTTTCAATGGAAATGGTTGCAATCGTCTTATTTCGTGGTTCCCTATATACAATACCCCTTTCTTCGACTTTTGCACTTTATGATATCGAAATAAAGGATATAAATCGCATTTATATTTTATAACCACAACTACAACCATAGGGAACAAATCCACATAAATTACAAAAAAAAAAAAAAAAAAAAGAATAGAGTAGAAAAACAGAAAAAGTACATTACAGGCTATCGCAATATTAATGCTTTACACACTTACCGAACTGAAGGCCGCCAGTGATGGTATAAAACAAGATACTACAATTGTTGCTGCTTTTTGAGAGCAACGCAACATCATTAAAATCATTTTTCTAGTTTTTACATCACATTTGTACCACTCGATGTCGTCGTATAGTGTATCAGCCACTCTTACTCTCTGCGAAGCATGATGAGTGGTATGATAATGAGTGAATGTGTTATGATGAGTAGATGATGATGGATAAACAGAAAAAAAACAACAACAACAAAAAAAAACTTTTTTAACATAAACATCATATTTCTTTTCTTTCTTTTTTTTTTTTTTTTTTTTTAGTAGTAATTAAAATATTATCACGCACACAGAGCCACGGTAACAAAGAAAGCAATGAAAATCCCGTCTTCCTTGTTGTTGAGGGGAAATTATTACTCTTCCGAATAATTTACACGTTTTTTTCTCGAATATTTAACGTTGCTTAAGGGATTTTAGATGTACTGGTTTGCAGAATTTTATATGTGCACCGAACTCTTTCTTTAAATAACCTTGGCAAAGGCTTTTAGGGCAGAAGGAAAGTATTATAATTGGTAACAGTAATAGTTAGCTGTGAAAAGTAAAAAAAAACTCGTCTTTCTTTTTTCCGGGTAGTACAGATCCGTACAATGCAATCGGATCGCTAATCGGCTTTAAATGGAAAGTCATATGGCGGTCCATTTATGCCTTTAGCATATTTTCAGCAACTATTTATATTGAGCTGCGCTCGAATTCGTTTCTCGACTCTCACTATGAATACGGGATGAAGAGTTTGCAACACAAGTTCTGTGGAAATCCATTGCGCAAGTCTCATGGTATTGTTCGTACGTATTACACGAGACGCGTAAAGCATTCAAACAAAAAAGACCAAGGATGTATTCAAGATATGCTTTCCTCTGATCAGCCGTTGATATCATCCAATGAGTAAGACAGAATCAAACTAAACTGAAGAGCAACTCATTCAAAGCCATTTGTGTGTGGGTGTTTTCTGGTCGAAACTTTCACTGGCATCTTGTGATAAATGTTATGCTCGTGTTTAAGTGTTAAGTTTTTCGATAACAAGGATGAATGTTGACAAGCAGAATATACGTTGAAGTATAACACTTGAAGAGTAACGAAAAAGTTTTATATTTGGCCTTAAAGCGTAATTGAACAGAGGCCCGAATGTTATCGAATTGCGAAAGCAGTTTTATTTTTAAATTTGAAATATTTTTTTTTTATTTTTTTTGGTGGTGTTGAAAAATTATCGAAGGTGAAAAAGGTGTCTGGAAGATGTTCCAGACAGGTTGTCGCGACAAAAATGTTTTATCTACTGGACAATCCATTCATAGGACTTTCATTTTGGTTTTCTACAAATTACCGACTGGGCTATGATTTTAACAAGATTGTCGGACCGTTTGACTTTTTTTGAAAGTTTTAGATCGATATAGGAGGGAGGAGTTTATACGAGATTTGATTTACCTTGTTTCTTTTTAACACCAATTCATTTGTGTTGTTGTTTCCTTTTTTTCTAAAAAATTGCGACTGCAAATATATAGATCTGGACATATATGGGACCCACTATATATACATATATATATATATATATATATATATACGCGTTGTCTAAAAATATATTCGTAATTGTTGTTATTGTATAAAAAATGTTGCAAGTTTATTGTCATATTTAAAATAATCTGAACTATTGGTTAGCAAGAAAGGTGATTAACACCTTTGAAACAATATGTAGGAGAAAGAGCTGGTTTAAGATGAAATAAATACCTAAATATATAATAATAAATTGTAAATAAAAAAATATATAATTAAAATGAATAAATGAAACAAATATATGTAAAAGATTCTTGGATCATGACTTACTATATATATAAACTTTTATAAGTTTTAAACTACGCTTAGCTCAATAGCAAAAGCGATTAGTTAACTACATAGGAAATATACGAAGTTCTACATAAATTCTTTTACTAGTTTATGTAGTTGCTTTTATTGATACATAAGCTATGGATGGCTTGATTATAGAGCAATTATATGCTTGCAATTATTTTACATTTATCAGCGTTGACTTGCATAAAAACCTTATACTGGGATTCCTGACGTTTAAGTTTTTTGCACATGGTTGACTTTTAGCGCTGGGTTCAAAGTGAATTCTTAATGAGCTTTGCTGTGTATAAATTATGCTGAGGGATCCATATTGAATCCTATTTGCATAAACGAATTCATTTTCTCTTAGCCATGGAGTCTAATAGTCTTTATTATCAACCACTGAATTAATGAATTAAGAAAGAACAGAAAATGTATAATCACTTTGACTTTCACTAATGCAATTGCCTCGGAAGCAATAAGAGCAAGTAAGAAAATTATATTTGGTTGTCGTTGAATTTTTTATCCTATACTCGAAAGAGTGGGATTTTGATACTCTATAAGAAGAGGCGCGGGTGTCTGATTTTTTTAATATTTGTGTTGATATAGATGCATATGTGTGTAATTAGGAAAGAACACTATTTTTTTGCTTTTGAAAACAGAGATATTTTTATTTTGGTTAATCAGTTTCGCTCATTTTCTACGATGGCATGCCTGCGAAAATTTTATATTTTTTTTTTGCCAAATTTGAACTCGATGTCTCCATTTTTCCAAATTTTGGTTTACCATATACATCCAACACGCAAAAAGTATGCATGTATATATCTACAATCAAGCTAAGAGTCAACTTTATTAAGATTTAGACAAAGATATTCGTTTTCACATTGAATCCGTTCTACTCAGCACAGTGAATTATTTGTTGATGATTTCAAGAAGAAGAACAATTCAAGAAGATGAAGAATTGATTACATTGCTGAGTAAATTGTGTTACGAGGTTCGTCTCTCGCCATAAAGAAAGTCAACGGGAAAAGAAACGCAATATTTTTTGAAATTACATATTAATTTCTAATTAATTAAACTAAATTAAATAATTGGTATTATTACTTTAGAATATTAAAATAAATTCTTAGACTAAGAGAAGAAAAATGAGCACTAGGAACATAGGTGATCGCCTCTATTTACAACCTGCACCTACCCGCTATATTAAGTTAGTGCGGACGTATGTAACATCCTTAAGAAAGACCAACATTTTATTATATCGATCGTTTGTCCAAACTCCGTCTTGTTCGTCTGATTTCTGCCCATGCGATTCTATGTTCAATCTACTTGTCGCAATTTTTGAGATATTTTGATGAAACATGGTATACTGACTTCTTATTTTGATAAACCTTTATATGAGACAAGCACTCAAGCATTGTACTCAATCGTGACGAAATCTTTTGTACCCGTCACGATTTTCCAAAAGGAGAACAATAGCAAAAGGGGCGCGGCTGATTACTTCTTTTCAGAATAAAAAAAAAAACTTATATCGTGTTTCTGTTGTACTTTATGAGTAACGAGCAAAAATTACGGGAAACAATATTGTTCTCCGTCTTTGTTGCATAGGCTAGATACTATGCAATTGGGTACACGGCTAGTGGACATACGAACTGATGGACATGCTTGCATGCATTCCAAACTTGATATTGATCAAAAATCTATATAGTTTATGGGATTTTAGAAGACTGTTTCTGCGGGTTATAAAGGTATTGAAAAAAAAATCAAATTTGATACACTGTAATAACGGGTAAACGTGGTCAATATATTCTATTTTTGTACAGGTGCTACAGCATCACCCGTAGAATATATGAGTAATAAGTGAATTTTTTATTGCTTTTAAAAATCAGAGGTGTTTTCAGTTTACATAGTGCTGTAGTCCGACGTGGCCAATTTTTAATACCAGTCTGCGTACAAGAACTTCCAATTTTTCTGCCAAGTTTGAAGGCGATAGCTTTATTTTGCGGTCACGAGAATGTTTTTAATAAACCTTACAGAGATGGACAGACGGATATGTTAAAATCGATTCAGAGTTTGATGCTGATTAAGGATGTATATACTTTGTAGGATCTCTGAAGCTTCATTAAAGGCATTGCAAACGTTTTTAACGAAACTTTAGCCTTCAGAAATATTTAAATTTTCAGATTTTCGTAACCAAGATAGCTAAGTAATAGCATTTAAGCGCTCTAAGTTGGTGTGAAAAAATAGGATCGGATCGAGCAATTTTTTGAACCACTTGCCATATAAACGTTTTTATGAAAACTTAATCTTCATTCTTCTTTCAATATATCTTGATTCAAAAATTTTATGATGAAAATTGGTTCGCAAGAATAATATGATACCTAATTTAAAACGAATAGGTCTTAGTCGGAAGCATATAGGAGGGCTCGTATGAAAAGTAAAGACTTCTATGGCGACAAAATCTAGCTTGTAGTTGTTTATGATGGAAGCAAGTGGAAATTGCTAAAATCTTTCGCGAGTAAATTGAGCTTACTATATTTGGACCACCTTAGTTGACAAATTGAGCAGCCTTCAAAATAAGGGCTTTCATGAAAACTACGTGTTAAGTATAATTTTTAGCACATCATCACGAAAATGAATGAATATGTATTTATATATTAAGCGAAGTGGTGTAGGTTATCTAATTGTCGGCCTTGGATTATACTGTTCTTGCTTGTTTAGAAAAGAAGATTAAATATTGAGCTTAGTAATTTCACTAAAGTAATACATTGACATAAAATATATAGCGTTCTGTAGACGATATCAGGATGTCCATAGGATTAGTTGTTCCGAATGCGATACTTCTAATAAAGGTAAAGTTTAGGCAGTCATAAGGCAGAGTCTTTTTTGGAAGAATTCACTCACAACTGCAGTTTGGAGAAGTATCCGTTGGTGTCTTGGAATAGTATGGCCAAGTCGAACTCCCAGAAAGGTTTTAATTTTGATTTTGATTTGGAATTAAGTAAGGGTTACCAGAGGAGTCATGCTGGCGACAATATTGTAGATTCGCTTTAATAATGTTTGCTTTAAGGTTTCTTTCAATGTATCGAAGTTTTCCATGATGTTGTCCTTAATGAGAGATGCAAAAGCAGCAAGCTTCGCTGCTCGATCAGCTTGTTCATTTTTCAATAAACCATTACGTATTCAAAGCATTTTAAATTTATTACTGTACGTTGTTATGGTGTTTCTCAATATGTTAATGGTGTTCCAGCCCGAAGTCAAGCGATTGCGGATAGTCTCTAACACAGATAGACTAT